AAGCTGGAGACTTTCTCCAAGCTCAGGAGCTCCATCAGCTATAAATTTTTGAAGGAGGAGGAGCCCAGGAGAAATAACTCAATGATTTTTTTTAACAAAACTTAAAAACATTTCCTAAGATTCAGTTTTTGTCCTTTGTTTGTGCCTTGTGGACCATTCATCTGTGTAACGTGTAGTTCTGGCTGGATTGCCTACTGCATGTCACCTGTAAAACCCAGCAAGGTGGCCTCCTCTGGGAGGGCAACACAGCATGCTGATGCTTGCAGGGCACGAGTTTGCTCAGGACCTATGCTCCATGGGGTTTTTGGTTATTTCAGCATGCTGCTGCAAACCTGTTCTGCTGCAGTGCAGGCTGGAGATGATTTGCTCTGGCCATTGGGAAGCCCAAGTCTGAGCCTCAGTTTTCATAGGCCTCCATTGGTTTGAGAACAAGGTTGTTGTGGTTTCTTCAGTACAGTGGTGAGCTTTTTGAAATTCCTCAGGCATGAAGAGTGAAAATGTAAAACCCCAACCATTTTGTGATAGGATCCATCTATTGACACCAGGCCAGGACAGCCTGGCAGCCCTGTGCAGCCAACAGTTTTGGTTGGCCTTCTTTCTCCCTTACAGGTTTGTCACTCTCCATCTAAAAGCAAAGGCTGAGTTGGCCATCACTCTTGAGTGGATGAGAGGCAGGCTACAAGGGGATGGCCTATGGTCATGGTCTCCTATGCTCCTCCTAGAATTTGTGCAACAAGTGTGCCATCACTCTGCATTGTGTAGGAATGAGCAAGCCAGGATTGACCAAGTTTGACTGCCGTGGTTGGGTGAGGTGGGCTGGTGAAGGACATTTCGTATTAGGTTTATTTCAGAAAAAAAGAAGAAAAAAAAAAGCATGCAGAACTGTGGGGATAGACATGGGTTGTAATTGGTAATTGCTTCTTTTTTGCTTGTTTTGCACTAGAAACTAATGAAAGTCTGGCCTAATTTTAAGGAAAATACCCATCTGAGTCTGTTCCTTTAAGCCAGCAAACTCGCAGCTAAAAGCTGTCCTTGGGACAGCAACCAAAGCTTTGTGTTCCTGGGGTTTTGCATTCCCATGTTTGTTGGATGTAGCCAGGAGACCCCTTTGATTTGTTCTCTTTTTTACTCCTTAGGGCTTTGCCAGAGGGAAATCCTCCTGGCTAAAGTGTTTTTGTAACTATTTTAGCTTTGTGACGATTTATTTCTTCTTCTGACTCTCGGCATCTGAATTGGGTGATTTGAGAAAACAGTCCATTAAAAGGAGGATACTGTAGAGTCTCGATGAATCCTGTTTTCTACTTGGCCGGTGGAACAGAAAGCTAATTGCCAGTAGTAAATCCATTCAAAGGAGGGCTGGAGGGAGGGAGAAAAGCTAATATTCCTCCTTGAATGCCATTTAATCTCTGAAACCTTTCATGCAGATGTAAATTAGGATTTGCACAACAGAGTCAACAGTTGCTCCGTAGATAAGGCAGATTTGCAACATCTGCTTTTCCATTTGAGAAGCCCTTCCAAAGTCGCTGTTGGGGATAGCCAAGCTAAACACTAGAGATTTTTTTTCTCCCATAATCTCTTGCTTTTGGGGAGGGGAAAAAAAAAAAAAAAAAAGCATATGACTTGAGAACTAACCTTGAGAACTAACCCTGGTCATGGTTCTGCATATTCTCTAGGAAGAAAGTTTGCTTTCCTTCTAGTGCACATTCATACACATAAAAACAATCCTGGGAGGTAATAGAATGGAGCGCACTTCTTAAGGTCTTTGGAAGAAATACTGACTGACAACAGTTGCATAGAAACTGCAGTGGTAATACTGAATAAACAGTTTACCTGTCTATTATTAGGAAAACTATTTTAAGTTTTTCCAGGGGAACCCCCATCCCACACCAAAGCAAACATACATAACAGGTGAAAGATAAATTGACCCTTTCAAATGACTGAGGCAAACTGTTTGTGGATATGGTTTCTTAAAGGCAATTTTCTAAATCACAGCTTAGGTTTTTTAAGGGAAGGACCAAGTCAGCTCACTTCCAGAAGTATCCAAACTATGGGGAGAAAAGAGAGATTGATTCCCATTTCTGGCAGTAGGGCTTGCTCTTCACAGAATCACAAGGTTGGAAAGGTCCTATAAGATCATCTAGTCCAGCCATCCTCCCATTACCATTGCTACTGCAAGCCACTAAACCATATCTCTTAGCTCCTCATCCAGACACAGCACAGAAGCCCTCAGCTCCCATTGTGAGGACACACAGGTAAAATGGCAAACACAGCTTGGACAGAGGAAAATATAAACCACCAGAGAGCCTCTTGGTCCATGTCAGAGAAAAACCTCCCTGGGATTTTCAGGGGCACGTGAGGGATATTCTACTCAGAGAACTGATGGTGCTAAGCCTTGAGCCCTCCACCCTGGCAGTGTGGTCAGGGCCATCTATTTATGAAATGCATGATGAATTGCTGTGCCCCAGCTTTGGGATGCTCCCTTGAGGAGTCAGAGCTGCAAAGGATGCTCCCGAACACTGGGGTTTTTCAAAAAGTGGAGCTGTAGGAAGATATTCCAGTGGGAAAATCACAAGTGAAGAGAAGGAATAAGGGAACAAAGTGTCCTGGAGCTGAAGGTGATTGCACTTGAAAGGTGGTGTGGGTTCCATGAGCATCCAGCGGGATCTGTCATCCCTTGCTGCCCTCGTGCTTCTGGCACAGCACCTACAAACAGTCCTCAGTCACAGGGAGGCTGTCAGCCAAAGTGCAGGAAGGTTTAAAGGGGTTTGCTGCTTGCCTACAGTGTGGACGGTTTGCTTAGGACCCAGGACTGATGCTTGGGTGATAGGTGTTGTAAATTCTGTCTCTGCTTTTGCATTTGTCATGTTTGAAAGCTGGATGAGGTATAATAATAACACTAAATCTTCATTTTCTGAAGTCCCAGTTTGACAAAATACTGAAGCGCATTCAACTTTGTGGAGGTCTCTGACTTGGGTTCTGTTTAGTTTTTAGCTGTAGGTGTGTAAACTGAAATTTGAAATGCTGTTTAAAGAGCTGAAGAATGTCAGTACTGTTCTCGTTTTCAAGTAGCCACTCCTTGAAATCTCTGGATACTGTATTCAGCAGGAATGAATACAGTCAGTAGGACCGAGGTGTGCATGCAGTGGGCATCAAGATACCTGCTGGGGACCAGCTGAGCTGTTGGGGGGCAGAGATGTCAAAATGAGCAAGAGATGAGTTTCCTTTCTTCAGAAGAACTGCAAGCCCCAATTGTTCTGAGTCGAAAGTGAATTGACTCTTCATTTTGGTATTCCTTTGCGATGTTTTATAAAACTGCTGTAGTGCTTTGTCACTCACACAGATTCATTATCACTTCATGAACAAAGTGACTTCTTTTTAAATGACTAAACAGCCTCATTTGGTCTGTATTAAGTCTGGGCTTGTTCCTGTTGGTAGGTTTAGGGTGCAAAAGCCAAACTGCACAAGTTACCAAAGGTCAGGTAAAAGTGTGCATTTTGTATGGAGGAATGGCTCAGCTGCATGGGGTTTGTTTTCCAGTAAGTTAAATTAGCAACAGCTTCCATTGGAGTCAGCAAAGATCAGCACCCAGCACTGCATGCAAAGCTGCAGGAGGGACTTTTAATCTGAAGCCAAAGTTGGTGCCACTGAGAAAATCCTTATAGTACAGAGGAGAAAGGCTTTATCCTGAAATCAGCAGCTGAAACAGAAAATGCTTCTTTACCTGGTGCTGCAAGTTTCTTCTTCTCAACCATAATTTCCCAAGGAGCTCCTTGATGGGAAGAGACAGACCATGGGCAAGCACACAACTGCAGCAGGAGCTGCTCTGAAAGGAGAGAACCGCTGACGCTCCTTCAGCTTCTGTTTTTACTAATAGGATATGTGTTCAGGGAAAAGCTTTTCATTAAAAATAATAAAAAAATAATAATAATAAAAAAAGAAACCCTTGTCTATACGAACACCACAGCATTCTAGCCAAACCCAGAAATATTTGAGTTGGAATTGCTGCCAGAGTATAAGGGAAAGGTGCTTTGTGACCCCAATGTGTGTGGGCTGTGCCTACTGTGGGATGATACCTCCCATGAAATACCACATTTTCAGGCCCTCAGAATTCATCATTTGCTCTATGTAAGACTACTGACTGAAGCATTTTTATATTTTTAAAGTTCCACGAGAATGAAAAGTTGCATGACAAGGGGAGAAAAGCAGTATGTTTTTCTTTAATTACCTCCTCCAATTCTTTGACTGAATAGCAGAAGAACAACTTGAAGAGTTCATCATCAAAACACCATCCTCAGGTGTTCTGAATTGCTGTAATCACATTTGGTTTCACAGTTAAATTCTAATCTATGCATATATGTAAGCAGTAAAATTAAGATCTCTATTCATATCTGATTATTATCAGAGGTAAAATTGGGCCACCTGAGTTTGGATCATGGGAATAGATTTGTTTTGCATTACTTATTTGTTAATTATATAATCCTAGCACCAGAGAGTCTTTGCTAGGAATTAGAACCCTATAGTGTATAAAACCAAGAAGACTTATGCCTGGCAGAGCATAACGTCTCAGAGCTGGTGTAAGCTGGAAGAAGCACGAGACATGTAATGAGAAAATGTTGGCTGGCATTGACAAGGCAGTGGTGCTCATGCTGTTGGAATAACTGGGTTGAGGGCAGCTATGGAGGACTGAGTCTTCTTGTTCAAAATGGTGTAAAGGAGGAAGAAACCACTGGGTGTCTGAAGTGACTTTGTACATCACTGTATAGGAGTCTGAGGACTGTCAAACCATCATGCCTTGTGTTCCTTTGTGGGAAGCCTTCTGAGCTCAGACCTTTCCTTTTGTTATTGTTCTACTGTAAAACAGAATTGTGCAGCCAGGACAGGATTCACTGTCATCACGTGGAAGCATCTGTAGAGCAGATACAATACACTTTTTAAAATATTCTTTCATCCTCTGATGCATGCTCTTATTTACTCATTTCCCTCTCTTTTTCTCTTTGCAGAATACTTGAGAAGCGAGACCGCCTTTCTGGAAGAGTTGGTGTTTGGAAGTGGAGATACCATTGAACTTTCCTGTAACACCCAAAGCTCTTCTGTGTCAGTTTTCTGGTTTAAAGATGGTATTGGGATTGCACCTTCCAACAGAACTCATATTGGACAAAAACTGTTGAAGATAATCAATGTGTCATATGATGATTCGGGGCTGTACAGTTGCAAGCCAAGGCATTCCAACGAGGTCCTAGGAAACTTTACAGTCAGAGTGACAGGTATGTGAAGAAATTGAGTAGATTTGCAGTTGGTTTTTGCGTGCGTGTGTATATTTTGTCCTTTCACTTGTTCAGCATAGCTGGTGATCTGCAGCTTTTTGTCCCTTCTTGGTTGGTCTGTACCTCCCCAGCAAGCCCTGGCAGTAATCGTTCTGACCAAACAAAACAACAATCAAAGAATGCTTGTGTGTTAGTACCAAGTGTTAAAAGCTCAGTGTTGAGATTGAGAGAGACTTGGAAACAGTGCTGGTCAGATTTAGCTCCCGATCCCCCTTAACACTCAAATAGACACAATGCTACGTGTGCCTTTGAAGTGTGAGTGAGCGAGCTGTGGCTTAGAGAGGTTAAATGACTTTTCTTTACTTTATGTGGCGAATCATTGGCAAAATTGGATGTAAAAGGTAGAGATTTCGAAAACTGTTTCCATATTTTAGAATGCTTGTGGAACAGCTTAGATTGGAAGGGCATTAAAGATCATCAACCATCTCCTCCTTCCATCCCACTTGTAGAAATTACTAGTTTTTTCAGAAGTAGAGGAACTTACTGCTGACTGTATATTACAGACAAGTGGTGCATTAGCAAAGCACTTGCTGTCATTTGTGTGTCTATATTTTCCATGATGAGGACAATAGGACAGAACAGCTAAAAACTGTACAAGCCTGGATCACTCTACTGTGCCAAAAAAATCTATTATTCCCAGATAACAAACAAATAATGCTAAGATCATCTTGATTTCAGCGTGCTGCATTGGTACAGTGCTCATCATCGTGAGCCTTCTGATTGCATAGATTCAAGGCCTGAGTTTTCACAAGGGTTAGCCTCTTGTGGATCTAAGGTTCTGAAAACTTTCCTTCCCCCATAGGTTCTTGCCTCCAAAACCTGAGTTCCCTCAAACAGCACCAAGCTCTATTTGAAAAGGTTGTGACAAAGTGGGAATCGGCCTCTTTTCCCCAGGTAGCTAGAAGTACGATGAGAGAGAAGTGTGCCAAGGGAGATTCATGTTGGATATTGGAAAAAATGTCTTCTCTGAAAGAGTGGTCAAGCACTGGAACAGGCTGCCCAGGGAGGTGGTGGAGTTACTGTCCTTGGTTCAAGAAAGGTGGTGTTGTGGTACTTAAGGACGTGGTTAGTGAGCAGTATTGATGGTAGGTGGATGGTTGGACTAGGTCATCTTAGAGGTCTTTCTCAACCTGAATGAATCTAATTCTATGAAAACTGAACACAGGGGTGTCTGTGATAGCAAATCGTGTCCGTTCCATAAAGTTCTTTTTCCTGCCAGAAGTAGGATTTGTGCGAGAGAATCAAACCATCGTAAGAATAAAAGCCCGTTTCAGCAAGCCTTCACCAACATCTGCTTTTCATTGAATGTTACTGGAGAGTGCTGTGAACGCTTCAAGGTCATATCAATTAAATGGTTGAAGAAGAATTTGGCCCTTGAAAGGCTTTCTTTAACTAGGTACGATTACTGGGACTACCCAAGGAACTGCAGGTTGTTAGAAATGTTACTCTCTCTTTTTTTTTAAGTGACATTAAAATGCTTTTGAGTTCAAGGGGCAGCAGGGAGGCAGAGGAGGGCAGCTGGTTCCATATTCAAGTGAAACAGCTGCCAGCCCCAAAAGTTTGTAAAGTGAGAAATTGTTTTTAATAGTGGAAGGGCTCATAATCCTCTGCTTTTTAAAAGTTTAAGCCCCTGTGTTTTTCCTCTTCACTAATAATAGCTAATAACAGCTTAAGAACAAGCGAGTAACCTGAACCTGCTTTCTGACAGCATTAGGAGTCTTTGATTCTATTAGCTCGCTGTCATTACCATCGAAGTGTTGGCAATGTGGGAGCCTCTGTTTTAGCTGTCAGCAGCACTCCTTTTGAGTTTTGAAGCCCTGCTGTATGTGGCAATAGTGGCGCCTCTCGTGCACGCAGATATTTCTTTGTAATTATTATTGATTGCTCTGTGTTCCGCTGCAGAGAGGAGATCATTATCTGAGATCTGTGGTTTGCGTTCCCACTTTGTGAAGGTAACTCCAGCGATGAGCTTGGATATCTGGTTGGGTGTTTCTGTGGTTATCTGATGTTTGGGATTGGAGGTGTTCTCTGTGTTAAACTGGATGAAATCTCCACTAATGAATTGGAGTTGCTCCAATCTGTGCTCCGAAATGAGCAAAAGCAGGGTAGGTTGACAAGGTGTAATGCTGAAAATGGCCGATAGGCACTGAAGTCCCCTTTTTGTGAGCTGCTTGCAGATCCTGGCAGGGCAGCAGACTTATTGAACGCACTCTGCAAACCCATCTGGGGTTTGTGATGGGGACAGAGTGTGGTGGTGAAGGATGGACTGCACAGAGCAGGTGGCATTAGAAAGCAGCCTGTACCTGAGGAGAGATAGAAGCTGCTACTGCACAGTGAAAACTAGTCTGATAAATAACAGGGTTTAATTTCTTCAGAACACCTCCATTGACAGACATGGGCTTGATTGCTTTATGAATTTACAAGATGAAATGTACTGCCCTCTTAAAACATGAGCGCTTGGTGTGGATCACAGATAGGGGCTGCATGCCCAAACTGATCTCTTGTTGACAGAGGCTCTGTTTCTGCAGCCATTTCATATGCTCCCCTGGGATTTAGTGGCTGAGCAGCACCCCTGCAATGAGCAGCAAAAAGATATTTCAAGGTACCCAAGACAAAATTCCTGCCTGCTTGTAAATAGAGCCGTTTTGGAATAGCATCCAGCAATTCCTACAGATGCCAATACTGGCTGTCTTTTGGAAGGGAATATAGTTTTTGTAAATGATTAATAAATAGCTTGTAGATTTTTAGTCACTTATTGAAGAAGGCGATTTCTAGTAACCTGAATAGAAGTGTAGCTCTGAGCATGGGATATTTTGTGTTAAAACCCAGGCTGCAGCTTCCCTGCAAAGCTCTCATGTGAAGCACAAGCGAGGTCAAAATCAAGGAGCATGGAGTTGGACTCTGTGATTCTTATAAATCCCTTCCAACTCGGGATATTCTATGATTCTGTGATTCTCCCCTTTGATCTTGTGGAAGCATTCTGAATTGATTTCAAGATCGATTCTGCTGTTTTGGTCCTGATTGGTTCATTTGAAACCAGAAGAAAACTTCAATGGCATGTTAATATACAGGTAACCAAATTGTGGAGCACAGGGCTGAGAACGTACTTGTTTATCCAGTGTTGGTGGGTGTTTGGCAGGGCTTCTGCCTTCGCCAGGACTTGAATAAACCTGCTGGTTCAGCCGAAACGCCTCAACAGACACTTCACTCTCAGCAAGCCCCATGGCATTTCCCTGGTGCTGCTGCCAGCAGGACCTCAGCTGCGGTGTGCAGTTGGGTACGTGCTGCAGGGCTGGGGGCTGAGCCAAGGAGAAGGTGCAGCGCATGATGCGCAGCCGCGTGCTGATGGAGGGAGATGATTCCTGGCTTATTGCTCCTATATGCGGTGAATACATTTGGAAATACCCTCCAGATTCTGCAGAGATGTGTTATTTGTTATTACCTTTCCCCTCCTTCTGTTTTCTACCTCCATGCTTTTTTATCGTGCGGAGAATAGTGTCCAGTTCTCCAAACAAAATGCAGTGGATCGTAGAAGGAAGGAGCTCTGCCCGGGTCGGCCTGAATCAGTGCTTTGCTGTCCTGGCACATATTAAACACTCATAAAGTTTCCTGTTTACTGCTGTTTCATGCCAAGTGCTTTTACCTGTCTCAGAATATAAATGCTGTTGCGTTGTTAGCATTTTGCTTTTATTTAAAAAAGAAATTCCTGGAGATTATATAAAGTCAGAAGACACTAAATCTTCCAGACACTGAATTGTGCTGAATAGTGTAAACTGAATCAAACACTAAGCTGCTGTTTTATCGTGGGATTCACAGCTACAGACTGAAGCTTCATTGTGCGCAGCCTGGAGAAGGTGAGATGTTAGATCACATTTAGAGAATGAATACAGAAAGTTTTAGAGATACACTGATGGAAAATTCCCACCTGCTAACCTGGATTCAGTTACAGCCTTGAGGTTTATCTGTAGAAGGAATATAAGCGAAAGGAGCTGGTTCACGAAGCAGCCATCAAAATGTCTGTCTAGAGAGAGGTTCAATTTCAAGGGGAAGTTTTAAAAGCTTTAGTTGAGTCGTTTAGCAAGGAGTTAACACGGGAGGATGTAGCAGCAATGTATTGAGTTAAAAGAGTACAGAGTGAGTTGAAAATGCTGACCTGTCGTTTTGAGACTTGGTGAAACAAGAAGTCTCTAAGAGTGAATGCTAGGGGGAAAAAAAGCAGGGGAGAGCTTGTTTTGCAGGAAGAAACCTCCTCTTTTGGAACTGCCTTTGTATTTAGGAGAAGAGCTCTTTGCACATCGAAAAGTAGTTGGCACTGACCACTGCTCTGTGGTGGCAGAGCACTGGCAAACTTGTGTCACTTTTCTCCTTTTGGAAAGCTCCTGGCTGCTCACCCCAGAGTGGTAGAGCTGCAGGAAGGGGGATGTCACCCACATGTCACCCAAGTTCCTCCTCACTGGAGCCCGCTGTGGCATCCGAAGCCTCATCCAGCCTCATCTCCATGTGCTGTCCTCTTTCTGCTTCATGTCTTTCTCCTTCTTCTCCTAGATTCTCCTTCGTCAGGTGATGATGAAGACGATGATGATGAGTCAGAGGATACAGGTAATTTGTTTCTCCAGGATACAGAGAGTTTTTTTTAAACAGAGATGTGGCTGCCATGTGGCATGGCTCAGACATTTGCCTCCACCGATGTTGAAATGTGTGTCCTTGGGACAGGAGCACAAACTCTTGGGTCCTGGCACCAGAAATTTAGAAATAGCTGCCAGAGTGGTGTAGCTGCTCCAGTATCTTGTGGCTTGATATTTTGGCCACTCAATTCTGTCAGTTTGACTTGAGCTCAGGTTATCAGTTCCCCTTGCATGTAGATTCCAGAGTAACTCATTCTGTCATCATGTTTTTTTACTACGCTGAAGTTACACCTTGCAGTTACGCATCACAAACCTCAGCCTGCTTTGTTTTTATCGGGTTTAACTCTGGTCCTAATGAGCATCTCAGCTGGAGGCAGAGGCAGCTCGGAGAATAAAATCGACACTAGCCAAGCACCAAATTTACAGCTGCCATAAGCAGGAGCTGTAAGCAAAGCCCCTCTGGATTTTCTTTAACTTGTATGGGGAAGGGAGCCCCAGAAGAGAGCCTCAGTGCTTCCACACTAAACCTCATTCAGTCGCAGAGCTTGTTTCCCTAAGTGCAGTATCATTAATCAGTATCATTACATGCTTCATAGGCGTTAGTGTTGTGTTTTATTATGCTTTTTATATTTCTGAAAAGCGAGCTGCCTGTGCTTATGTGTTTTTAATAAATAAATGTCTTGCATTTGAACTCCAAATCAGCTATGTACGTTGGCAGAAGTTCAGCATGACTGGAAAATTTCTCCTGCCCACAGCATTTGACATGGAGGACTCTTTAAAACAGGTCTCCCACTGTAATAAATTTGTGCTGCTGTGTCGTGCAGCGTGAGGACAGTAATTGTGAGGTACGGTGCCAGGCAGCCCATCAGCAGCAGTTAGTGGTTTTCTTATAGCCTTTAATTAGGGGGCTGGATGCTGTGAGTTGAAGAGCACCTTTGCAGAGGTGCTCGGTGCTCCTGATGCCAACTGAAGCCCATTGGAGTCATGGGCAACGTTGCTCAGGGTTTGCTCCTCTGCAGAGCAGCTTCTGAGGAGCACAATACGTCGCTCTGTGCTTTTTTAATGTGATCTGTAGTAAACTCCATCTCTTAGCAGCAGGTATCACGAAACACGAGCTGTTTTATGGTACAGAAAGACACGTTTCTCTTCACCGAGAGGGAAAACATGCATTTCACCACATGTATTTATAGCCCGTGTTCTGGGTCTTCTTGACTTCAAGACAGTCTCTTTTTTTAGATCCAAAGGTATCCACTGGCTTTGCTTAAAGGTCTCGCTATAAAAAGTTGGATTCTCTTTTGCTTTAAAAACTGTTGATTAGCTTAACATACCAGAGAGGTGAAGCCTCGTGTTGTGAAGTGACACCAATGTGCTTTGTGTTGCTTTGTTTAATGTCAGACCTTCCAGTTAACATTGAATCTGAGGAGCTGTGTGTTAACCCCAGCACCACTGCCACCACTGGGACATCTCAGCAGGGACAGAGGCTGCTGGGTCATCCCAAGCAGGGGGGCATGGCTGTCGCCAGTGCCACGTCCCAGAGTCCCATATCCTTCATCTCTTGAGGCAAAAAGTACTCTGATTAAATGTATGAGCTCTTGCCTGGCCATCAGACATCACCATGGTCAGGAGTCAGAGGAGTGAGGGCAAAAAAATGCCTTTCATGCAAAAGCATGATATAACTAAGAGTTATTCTTATGCAGAGAGAGATAATGTGTCCAGGACTGACTTATTGTGTGCTGCATATTTCACACATCACAGTCATAATATGTCCTGTTCTCATGTAACACTATGTATATTTTCTGGTTTGTTCCTGTTTTTCAAGAGTTTCTTACCCTTGTGTTTATAGAGAGAGGCTTGGAGAGCTGATACTAACAGTGTCATGAGTTTAAAGCCAATCTCATTGATTTTGGAGATTACACCCAAGGTTGCTGAAATTCAAACTGGAATTAACCAAAGCCAGGATGATGAGAGGAAATTCCACCTAAAGGAAATAAGTATTTGGTGTATCTCGGAGAGCATGGAGACAGCATCCCTTAGGGGCAGGCAGCCAAAGGGAGGAAAGAGGAAGCTCAGCAACTTCATATTGTCCCGTTTGTTGCAGCCTTGTCACAAACTGTGATCTGCCTTTGCAAAAAGAGGCTTTCCAGTACCTCTGTTCTTTACAGCTGTTTTTCCTGGCCCTGGAACAAAAAACCAAGCTCCATTTTCACACAGTGCTCTTCTGCCCCAGTGCTCCCTATCCCTCTGTATCTGTTTGTTTGGAGCCCCTGCTGCATAGCCCCAGCACCTTCAAAGAGCCCCTATAATCTCCAATTAAATCTGGCTGTGTACTCAGAGGCGTCAGCTGGGGAAATTACACAATTAGGGTTGATTCTGTCTGCTGCAAAATTTTGTGGCTGCTCCTAATTGCTAAATGAGCGCTCGGCTGTATTAATTATTCCAAGTACTCCTCTCAGTTTTTTAATTGGTCATTCCAGGTGGATGGGTGGCCAGTGTCTGACAAACAAAACGGACCGGCGGGCTTAGTGCTCGATGATGGGAAAGGGCTGGCGACGGTCTTTGCGGGTCCCTTTTTTCACACCTGCGCACGCAGAATCATTGCTTGTCATTAATTCAGAGCAAGCAGCTAAAAAAGAAATTTTTTTTTTTCTGTCTTCCATTCTTTCTCATTCCCAAAGCTCTCTGGAACTTTGCAAGCTTTGTGTGAAAAGAAGAGTTAAAATTTTCACCCCCTTTAAAAAGCAGTGATGAAAGGACTCTTGGGGCACAGTAGACCAAGTGCTGATGTTTTGTTTGCTACTCCTGAGAGCAAGAACAAAGGCACTGTTCTGAATGCCTTGGCACTTCTTGCCAGTTCCAGCTTGACATGTGCTGTGCCCTGATTGGTGTGTTAATCTGGGGGTGCTGAGCCCTGCAAGCCCCAGATCACATGGGAGAGGACCCAAATAGCAGAGATGCGCTTGGGGAAGAACCCATGTCTAATGATCAGAGCCCATTTGGAGAAGATCCCAGGATGCTTAGTAAAACAGTGAGCAGCAGGTTATAGAATCATAGAATAATGTGGAAGGAACCCATTAGGATCATTGAGTCCGATGTGTGGAAGAGCTTGTAGGGCTACTATTCTCTGCAGCAGTGCATCATCAGCACCTGGCCTCTCCCTGAACCCACTCTGTGTGTAAAGTCCCTGGGAAGTCAGGGTGCACTGCCAAAAGGAAGTGTTTCACTGAAAAATAGCAGGAAGAAGGACAGGGACGGGTCCGTCCGTGTGCCCACATTCCTTTGATGCATGCAGGAGACTGATGGGGTTCATGACGTGTTGTGTGAGGCAATCTGAGGGCAAATGAAAGCCATTAATACTGAATTTTCACCCCTGGCAAGGCTGTGGCACTACCAGGGCACCAATGTCCAGCAGCCTGGCCTCAACTCTGTGAAAGCAGATAAGATACAGGAGCAGTGCACCCAGATACCAAAGGGAAACCAGGCTACATGGAGTGCATCCACAGGTACTAGAATGGTGCGTATCAGAGTCAAGCTATATTAGCCTGCCTGAAACATCTCAGGAGCTGAAGCTAGATGAGATTCTGAGCACCCTGATCTAGCTGTTGGTGTCCCTGTTCATTGCAGGGGAGTTGGCCTGGGTGATCTTTAAGGGTCCCATCCAATTCAAATGATTCTGTGATCCAAGGAGTGGAATCCACTAGCAGGCTTTGCTGTTGGTCAGGCCTGCTTCTTTCAGTCATGTCTGTCAGAGGCTTTCCAAATCCCTAATCCTTGTTCATTGCTGGAAATGCAGAGTGCAGTGATGTAACAGCAGTATTTATCATGCATTTTTGTCTAGTTGAGGGCAGGGGCTTACCTGGAGTCAATACAGGATGGAGCCAAACACATCAGGGTGTACTGCACTGCGGAGCTCATGAGAAAGTGAAGAGCTCGAGTGCATCTCAGAGCAGCTTAAAATGAGAGAGAAGACCTTGCACACTTCTGTAACGAAGGGGGTCTTCTCTGAGGTGGAGTTTCATTGCTGTTCTGCAAAGCAAACACTGTGTGTGCCCATCTCCCTTTGGCCTTGGCTGAAGGTGCCTCATCATGGCAGGGGAACATAGCAAGCTCAGCTCTGCACTGCTTCCTTAAGCAGAAATGAAAGTTTGTTTTTAAAGCTTTCTCTTTCTTTCTGTCTTTCTTTCCTGTGTAATAAGTTTGCTGCTGCTGCTGCCCTAATTTGGAGTTAATATGTAATGTTTGTAACGGTGCCAAGAAACATTGCTGTACTTCAGGCAGATTATAAAAGTATCTTATGCTAACACTGGTATTTTAAAACTTATCCCTGTTCAAAGGTAACATGAATCTCTAAAACTGAAATCACTTGAACTTTCTGAACATAAACGTGATAAACCAGTTTGGCACTGGCTTCTTTCCCTTTCCTTCCCTTAAGGAGGCTGCACTACGCTTGTTCTCACCAAGAAACAAAACTTTCCAAAGCACTCAGCTAGTTTTTTTTCTCTGCATTCTCACTCTCTCTTTTTACAGTTCCAACATCTTTCTGCTGTTCATGCTTCTTGGCTACTATTGTCCCACTGGTACATCTGTATCTTTTTACACACCGAGGCCAGATCCTCACTCTGATAGCTCTCTCCCTGTTGATTTAAAAGGAGATACTCTAGATTTATACCAGCATTACAGAGACAAGAACCTGGTCGTGAACCTTTCATCACAAACCTAAAATGCAAACACCCTGTCTACGTATATAAGAGTCATTTAGCTGGAAAGCATTTCTGTGTCATTTATCTTAACTGCAGCAGGTAGCAATTTAACTGTCACTCTGCACATGCCAAAGCCTCTCAAATGCATCTGCATCTGCTCAGCAGATGATATCCTCTACTGCATAAATGGGCTTTCTCATCTTGTCTTCTTTTCTCAGGTGTCCCCTTCTGGACCCGGCCAGATAAGATGGAGAAGAAGCTGCTGGCAGTTCCTGCCGCCAACACCGTTCGTTTCCGATGTCCAGCAGGTGGAAACCCAACTCCCACCATCTACTGGCTGAAGAATGGCAAAGAGTTCAAGGGGGAGCACAGGATCGGGGGCATCAAAGTAAGGCCTCAATATGGGTCTCTTTCAGAGGTTTTCTGCAGACTGTAGGAAATGGTGTTTTGCTGTGATGAACATTGGTACATGGAAGAGTGTGATGGCAGCTGTGCTGGACAAGGGGTGTTTCTGGCAGTCCTTGCAACTACTCAACATGGAAATGTTAGATAGGGCTGCTGTCCATTGGGATTTAAGACTAGTTGCCTTTGAGTTTGTTTACATGGCTATTCATGGATTAGTTGAAAAAAGGATGAGTGTATTGGGTGCATTGTGGACAGTGGTGAGAAAGTAGCTTCAGAAGCTTCCATCCTTTTTTATGGAGATGAGCCCAGGACACTGTGCATGAGCAAGCTGTAACTACTCCCAGTTTTCAAGGAGAAATGACTGTGCCATGGTTGAAGATGTGGGAAGGACCTCACCAAAGAACTGGACAGCTGTGCTGGTGGTCATTCATGTTCTCATATTCCTGTAGTATAAATCATTGACCCCTGATCAAGTGTAGGATCCCCCTGTATCTGCAGTAATAGCGATCTGCTACTTGGTTTCTTCTTTCTCCCTCTTTCCTTTCTACCATAATGTTCTGGAAAATACTCTGGCTTGAGTGCACACCAAAACCCAGTGCACTCAATTGATTGAATTATCCAGAAGTTTCTTTGCTACTGTACATGACAAATAACAGGATTTTAACTAGAAAATCAGCTGCTACAATTCTTTCTGTTGTTTCTTTGTCCCCTGAAGGTCACAATCAAGACATATTTAGGAAGAGTACAGCTGGCAAAGCTGGATATAACAGTATCAGACTCAGGGCAATTATTTTCAGCTTGCACTCCGCCAGCCCTGGCATTTCTCTGAGCTAGTTCCGAGGAAAGAAGGGGATTTTTCAGAAGGCACCTTCACCAGTACCTTAAATAGCTCTATGCTGATGCCTACCACATCTGTAACCCTCTGAAATGGGCTCGGCATGCGGAGCGTGCAGGGCTCCAGAAACCAGAAAATGATTTGAAAAAGCATTCCCTCCCCACCGTTTTCGGACTGTTTCTTTCCTGTTAGCTCAGGCCCACTCCTGAAAGAGCCCATTGTGGTCGTTTCAGTAAAGCCTTTGAAGGTCCCTCCTCAGCCCTGTTCCCATTCCAGCCTGGACGAGGCTCAGGGCACGCTTGGTTTTAGATCTAAAAATTTAAGGAAAGCAAAGATGTGGGGAAACAACTTCTGTCTGTAAGCAGTCTTACAGCAGAAAACATTTATGAAGCACAAGCATCTTTTACTCATTGTATGCTGTAAGGATCATCATGAAGTGTTTTCAGACTTGCGTGCGCTGCTTAAACAGCTTTTTACAAAACTATGTGACATCAGCTGCACTAAATTATGCTTGCAGAATAAAATGTAAAGCTGAAAGCAATTCCCCTATCCACTTCCCAGTGGTTTTAATCTATCCTTGAGTTTAAATTGACACATTTCATCCTCTGCAACACGGTAGTGAGTCTTTGGCATCGCTGTGCTTTGTTTCTCTAGGGACACCTTCCAGCAACAAGCCAGAGCTTAAAGAGCTGTTGAAGGCAATGTCAGGCCAATTACAGCAAGATTGGTTTAAGCTTTCTGTCTAGTTATAGTTCCTTGTCCTTCTCATGATATAAAGACATCTTTCTCTCTCTGTAATTTTCCTTCTCATATTTGCTTGCTTTTGCTCTTGAGCCACGGTTAGCTGTAAGTAGTCTGATGCAAATCTCATCCAATATAAATATACTGATAGATATCAGCTGAGATTTGAACCAGAAGAAGAAGTTGAAAACCTGCTCAGTATCTCATGTATTTAAGATTTAAATTCCCTGTTACAGCTTAGCTTCATAACAGGATTAGGCAGCTTGAAAACAATGGGCAATATCCAGATCTGGCAGAGTTTGGTTGGCTAGCTTCATGTCAAGATCTGGTCTTAACCCAGAAATCTTTGAGCTGGGAATTTTTTCATTTGTTCTCAACATGCGGGAGAATTTAAACATTGATTGTGAAAGGTCTGAGGCCAGTAGTTGGAAGTTGACTACTGTTCCACTTCTACCTCTTGCAAATGGCATTTAGATCCCGTGTGATTGTCAGAGCCCTCTGTGAATTCTGTAAGAGAGAAGGGCAAGTGTTGAAAACATGAAACCTGGGTTAAACTGGGCTTCTTACAGTTCATCCTTAACTGATACAGGAAAGAAATTCATATGACTTATCATATGAAATTTCCCAAAGAGCATTAATGATTAAATCCTTGTTGGAATCCCTAATATTGTAAGCCTGTGTGTGTTAAATGACCCTAGAAGGAAAGATCCAGGGGGAGGGGAGGTAGGAGATTATCCCTTCCCCAGACCATCACACTGACTTGCATACCAGTCTGGCAAACACTCACTGAGTTTCCAAGTGCGTCTGCAAATGTTTGTTTCACAAGAAGCCAAGAATGACAGCACCAAATAAACCAGAAGGGTTTCTAGTATCTCACCAACTTGATTAATAGCTGCACTAAATCATGTCATGTGTCTAGTGTTTTATCAAGTACGGTAAGCATCCTAAATTGGGAACATCCCTTTTTATTATCCATTGCATCTAGACCTTTAAGAAGTGCTGTTGCTTCTAGAAGAGTTTTCTCCCAGAGTTTGTGCCCCCAGGTTCAGATCTTTGTTCAGAGTCCAAAGTCCCTGTCACAAACCCAGTGATAAGAAGTTCCTTGAAAGTAAATACAAGACATGCTAAGTAAAAGACCTAATTTGGACCTGATTCTATAATACATTTTAGACTAGGGAGTTAGCCAGGTGTCTGGAGTCCCAGTTCCTTGGAGTAGTTCCTTGGGGTTCCATAGGCAAATGCAGTGCTGAAGAGTGGATTAAAAAAAGTCTTTAGATACATCTAAGAGACAAACATGTATGGCCATAAGCTACTAAGCAGCCACAAATTTGCATTCAAACTTTCTTGATAGTTCAGATAGTATGTTCAGATGTGAACTTGGGGTTCAGCTCTTACAGCTCTTGTTGCCCTGTAATTGCAGTGCTGTTAGAGATGAACCAGGTGGGATGTTGCTTTACAAAAGGTGAAATGTTAGTTCTGCATTGAGCTCTGTATGTGCCATTCTAGGTGGACAGTGGGTACAGTCAGACATCTGCAACAACCGTGGCTCCTCTGAAGATTATAGCCATGGCCTCCTGCTACATATATAGAATCACAACCTTTTGAGTTGGAAGGAACCCATGAAAGTCAGCTCCAGTCCAACTCCCCTGCAATGAACAGGGACATCTACAGTTAGATCATGTTGCTCAGAACCCCATCCAGCCTGACCAATGCTGAAATGGAAAGAAATCTTATATTCACACATCTGAAAAGTAGGATTCTCAGCACTGCTATTCCAAGAACGTAGAGGTGTACAAAGCATAGGGCTTCGTCAGAATGGCTTTTTGCTAAACCAGCTGTTTAAACTGTTAGGTCATATGACTCTAAATCTTCTCTTTCTAAAATTCTGTCTTTAATTGCAGCTTGGCCCTTTAAAGGAAAGCATGTGGATGCAATTTATATGTGGCAAAAGAGGTTAAATAGCTTCGTATTTGAGTTCACCTGCTGCAGCAAGGAAACTCCAGGAGCAGTTACATCCTTGTTTTTTCCATGAGCCTTTGACATTCTATAGCTCACCATTATTGTAATCTCTGGCTTCTGTGTGCTTGGAGTCACCTTCACAGTGTTTACTGAAGTTAAATGTCCTGATCAGAGTGGCAGAAGGCGTCAAATGAATACTCAGAGATTTGGAGAGCTTCTAGATGCTGTGCATCTTGAAGTCATTTTGTTTATGTTGGTTGCTTTCTGTATTAATTCAAGATTTACTTTCCATAGCCATTATTTCCTCTGAACTTGTTAGAAACAAGCATTCTATCCAGGAGAGAAGTGCAGTGGGTTGGACTGAGACATGGGTTGTGCTTTCCCTTCCTGCTGCTGAACAGCCAGTAACTCTGGACATAAATCACATTCAGTAAAAACAACTAGAATGAAGGCATAGTCAGAATGAGGACTGATCAGACATGAGGCTGAGCATATTTTCTACTCAGTTCTTGACAGAAAATGTTGGGGGCTAACTCAGTTGTAGTCGACCATTTCTGTTCTGAAATGATCATGCGTCCCCATAGCATAGACATTCAAAATATGTGAGGGTGAGAATTATGAGCTTTATTGTTCTTAGTTATCTTTATGAGTTATGTAGAAATTGGTAAGATTCTGCAGACAAGAATGCAGTGTTCTGAGCTGATGGAGTCTCTGGACCTGAGTGGTCTGGCACAGGGGACGAGCACATTGAAACTAGATGATTGTTATGGTCCATTTCAACCTAGGCCATTCTATGATTCTATAATTCTGTGATTCATTTCAGAGCTGTCTCAACGGTTGTCTTCTAAACTCATTATTCTAATGGAGGTGCCACATCCAGTGCAGCAGTCAGCAGGTTTCATTGCTGTTAATATTGTGAAAGCATCTATAGGCCCCCATTGTAATCTCAGTGTGTTACATTGCATGGGGCTGTTTATGCTCATCTTAATTTCTTTTCAAAGTAAGCTTTCAATGATCCTTGAAATGGTGATGTTCAGGCCGGCTCTGGGGTCCATTCATGCTGGTCAAGAATGCAGAAGTTCACTGATTGCTCACTGAGTGGTAGGTCTGGTGATAACACTTGACCATGGAATTGATGGTTTCACTTCTTCTTCCAGTTGCGACACCAGCAGTGGAGCTTGGTGATGGAGAGCGTTGTGCCGTCAGATCGAGGAAACTACACCTGTGTTGTGGAGAACAAATATGGCAATATTAGGCACACGTACCAGCTTGATGTTTTAGGTGAGATTTCATTGTTTTCCCTTGGCAGCTGATCTGTGGTGATGCTGAACAGGCGTATGATAGGATGCAGGAAGCAGGAGCCTGGTTTCTTTCCCAAAGAACTGGAGCCAAGAGGAAGCCTCCTTTTGACCAGCAATTCAGTTTCAGAGTGTGATGAATAATGTAGCAGGCCTCGAGAGGGACCAGAGAAGGAAAGGTGTGAGCAGGGCTGAGATTTCTGTTCTCTGCTTTGTAGTTCCTCCTTGTTTGGTTTGAGGAGCACTGGCTGGTGAGGTGGGCAGGATACCTGAGATGACACTCCCAGTCTGCACCCTTTCTGCTGAAAAGCGAGGAGATTTCCTCATCTGGAACAACTCCTGCAAGATCACTGTGAGCTGCTACCACTGAGCAGTGTTGTCTCTTTCCATCATGAGCACTGAAGGATGCAGAGAGGAGTCCTTGCTGGAAGGAGAATGGGTGAATTCACGTATTCCTCTTCTACATTTTTCAGAACGGTCACCCCACCGACCAATCCTGCAAGCAGGACTCCCTGCCAATCAGACCGTGGTGGTTGGGAGCAATGTGGAATTTCACTGCAAGGTCTACAGTGATGCCCAACCTCATATCCAGTGGCTGAAACATGTGGAAGTCAACGGCAGCAAGTATGGACCTGATGGGACACCCTACGTCACAGTGCTGAAGGTTGGTGCTCGCTCCTTCTATTTACTCTCAGGGCATCCCTTTCTCTGCCTTGGTCTCAGTGTTAGAGAGACCAGCTACATTGTGGGGTTACTTCTAAGAGAAGCCCACTGTCTTGTGGCAGAAGACATTAGCACTGAGTAAAGGTTCTTGCCATCCATAAAAATTTATAGATATGTTCATAAATAAGGTGTAGACTAGCAGTGCAGTGAGAACCAGAAACCTTCGACAGAATATGCTCAATACCACAGTTCCTAGAAGGGTGTTTATTATTTAAATCAGATTTTTGTGAGCTCCGGGTTTCATTTTATATGATTGTTTCATGTCTATGAGAAAAAATAATGAGAATAAGCCAAGGATCACTGTTGGGATTGTTCTTTTCTTTAAGCCTGTGCAGTGGAATACTCTGCTTTTGGAGGGGGAACAGCAAAAATGTCCTAACATCAATGTTCCAGACTCTTCTGTTTGCCAGAGATAACACAACTACTGTAGTGGCATAGATAAGCAAAGTGGTTGCAAGGGCTGAGGCAACTGTGAGAAATGCAGCATTATAAAAGGGAAGCTGTCAGATTGTATTCGACCTAAAATTGGAAAAATAACCCTTTTTTACTGCTTCAATGGAGGTATTTTCAGGGCTTATTAAAACGAAAGGCTCCCAAGTAAAACACATTCTTTCCTTTTCCAAGTACGCTGCAGCGCACATGTACTAAATAATGCTCAGCTCCCAGCACCTGAGAACCACCAGAGCCTTGTTCCAGCCATGAACATTTGTGAGCCATGCTGTTACCCATGCTCAGGAAAGCCTGTATTTTATTGAGCAAAAACTCACTTAGTAAAACTCCACATTGCAAATGCTTTCTAGAAAGGGAGTTTCCAGGTTGCAGGCAGAACAAAGCCAGAAAGTCTGGTTTCTCCTGAGCCAGTGCAGATATAGAAGTAGGGAAAAAAACATTGGACTTCTAAGCCCCCCTCCTCCTCTTTTTGTTTGATAATTGAAGGCATCCTGTGCTTGTGTATATTAGAACAGTGCCAAATCCAGTTTTTCTGCCTCTGGAAACAGATTCTGTCCTTGCAGCTTAAAGCTGAGGCTGTCCTCATGGACATCTCCTGTGCACATCCTGCTGCACACATCCTTCTTTCTCTTTGTACGAAGTTTTGTTGTTGTTTTTTTTTTTTAAAAAACAAACTTATCAGACAGCATCTACAAAACTGTAACTCAGCCAGATGCATGATAATAAAAGCCAGAGACCCTGGAAATAATTACACAGATTGAAATAACAGATCGGTTGGAAGAAATGGCTGGAGACAGCTCTTCAGGATTGGCAGCAGGCGCTTCTCGCGAGTTGATAAAACTTTTTATTTTCTGTCTGTGTCTCCAAATGTGTTTGAATTATGCATATTTGAATTTCCCCCTGGTTTCACAGCCTAGCAGCAAGCTCTGAATAGCTGCCTGTGTCACATGCCATCTTGCATAGTCTCCGAGCTCTGTGTGTGGTCCCCATGGGATAAAGTGGTACCTTTTGGAAGTTCGCAGAGCCGCTGCGAACAGTGCCTTGTGTCACAAGCACAGGCTCCCATTTTGCTGTGGCAAAGAACATATAAATAGTCCATATAAATAGCGTTTTAAAATTACGTTGGAGCGGCACCGGGGTGGCTAGGTAATTAGAATTGCCAAATACCTCCTCTTCTGTGGACGCATTCCTCGAAGGGGAGCACGGGCAGGCGTTTAAAAGCAGAAGTTTTGTTTGGTTTTATTTTTGCTGAATAGGACCAGCACACGTCTATTTACTACTTCTGGTTAATCAGGAATGCTTTGAATTGTGTTAATGCTGGCATCAGCACTGGGGCACGGAGCATTTCCATTTTGGGATGCATCTTTTGTGTGCCAGTCCTGGGCCTCCACAGAGCTGTAGCAGGCCCAGCTTTGCGGGGATTCTTTTCTGGGTTTTTTGGGTGTATCTGCTTATTTTTTTTCAAAACAAAAGATGATCTTGCTGTCATCTTCAGGCCTGTCCTTTGGCTGCATGGACTTGTTGACCTTATGTCATGCAGTGCTTTTGCTTTCAGGCAGGATCCTCTTTAATGGCCTTAAACAAAAAGAGGGGAGATTTAGGTTAGATGTTAGGAAGAAATTCTTTACTCAGAGGGTGGTGAGGCCCTGGCACAGGCTGCCCAGAGTGCTGTGGGTGCCCCATCCCTGGAGGTGCTCAAGGCCAGGTTGAATGGGCCCTGGGCAGCCTGATGCAGTGAGGGCAGCCAGCCCAGAGCAGGAGGTTGGAGCTGGATGATCTTTAAGGTCTCCTCCAGCCTTAGCCATTCTACAATTCCGTGATCCTGGCCTTGCTGCAGGGTCCTGGTAGTGGTCCTTCTGACCACAGCTCTTGAGAAAGGGCCCCCCACTCCCAGCAGCATGGTGCCTGCAGAGATAAGGCTTTTTTATCAGCCTGCCCTTCCCTCCTGCTTTTGGGAGATTTACAGGAGCTGCTAAGGGGCAGTTTGTATAGGAGGAACATCTCAGTTTCCATCAAAGCAAGGAGAGGTGCCCAGCACGTGAAATTTCCCCATAAATCTAAATCAAGGACAAAACCCACCCTAGACCAGATGGATAAATTGAATGCTGTACTTTCAACCCATTTTTCAAACAGCTCAACAAAACCAAGCCATCACCTGCGCCAGTTCCTGAAAGCCAGGGCTCATTTGTGATCAAAGGCAAGCCCTTGTTCTTTGCAGAACGCTAAACTCATTCCAATTTCAGGGGGAGGCTGGCAGCACGGTGCCCAGGCTTTGTCAAAGGCTAAATTGCACGTTCTGCACTGAAACATGCCTGGTTTAATTATAAACAAGGCAGCAACAGCAGGCAGGCACATTTCCCAATTGGTCAGGACAGGCAGACCTTGCAGCATGTGAGTCTCAGAGATGAGATCAGGTCAAATCCAGTAGTGTTTGCCATCAGGCATAGACACAATGGCTCCATATTGATGCCACCTCTGGGTTTGGCTTCCAATAACCTATGAGATATGTCAGCCCCATTGATTTTAATGGGCTGAGAGCCACACACAGGATCAGGCCCTGAAAATGGAAATCACTGAGGTGGGGCTGGAGAACATAAGAACAAAACTGAGAAATGCAGTTGGTGTATTTTCATTTCCAGGACTGAAGCTGATACTTTTCTAGAGTTTCCCCAAGCTACTACTGAGGCCACCCAAAATAGTTGTTTATTTTCAAGCAAAATACAAACAATTGTTTAGGAACAAACTGATGTGCAGTTGTGGCAGCGTGGAAGAAGAGAAGTAAAACCCTGCTTAACAGTCCGAAAGCTTGTTTGATTTATGTGCGCCACTTTATTTAGTAAAGAAGAGGCTCCTATAAGCAGTGGAAAAAATTACAGCTAATTTCTGAAAGGCAAAGTCAGCAGCGAGTTTCAGACCGCCACTGCTTATATTTTGTTTCCAAATTCTATTTTGGAATCTGATAATTGAAACAGTATTTGCCGAGCAGAGTTGCAAACACAAATCTCTGCTTAAGCCCTTTCTCTGGTGCTCCTGTCTGCAGAGTTATTAAGGAATTGCTGTAGGGTCTTTATTGTCAGATGGAGAGGTGGGAAACTGTTCTGTTTTGGGAAGAAATGGCACGTTCCAGCAGCAGGAACACCAGCGAAGGGCAGGAGGGTGACCTGTGTGTGATTTGGGGAATTCTCTTCTTTGCCCAGGTCCTGGGTAGGTTGTTCATCACAGGGTGATGTGGGGATGTTGCTACAGCCAGGAGGAAAATAGGCTTGAACAGTCAATCCTAGCTAATGTAGGTTCGATTGAGGTATTGTTTGGTTTACTGAAGTTCAGGTTTCTGTCTATTCCTGCAGTCTTGGATCAGTAAAAACGCTGAAGCCGATGCTAACCTAAATCTGTTCAATGTGACAGAACAAGATGAAGGAGAATATCTGTGTAGAGCCAACAATTTCGTAGGCATAGCCGAAAAGCCATTTTGGCTCCACATTCGCAAACCAAAACCAGGTAAACCACAGACTCTGTCCCAAGGCCCTGGCAACTGCAAGAATGAGCTATAACATTTTAAGAAGCTAGTGATTAAAATTACTATTCATTTTGTATTACACCCTGTCAACTGACGATGAATGGCTTTATCTTATTTTCTTGCTATTTTTTTTTTACAAGAATGTAACGCCTATACAGCAATTGCCATGGAAAAATTCCCACAATAAAATGACTGTCAAATTTTGCTATCAATCCTTCATGCTTTTATTCCTTTCCCTTCCTTTCAATTGAGTGCTGATAACAGAACTGCATGCTAATGACCTGTGATGTTCAGCACTCTGGAAAACCAAGCTGTTGCAAGGTTTTGCATCCAAAACTGATACAGTCATTGTGGACTGTCTTCTGTCCCTTGGAGAAGTAATTGGGAAATAAGTCATATATTGGCTTGTACAAGCAAACACATTAAATGGAGAGCAGCACAGTGTGCTGAACTCTCTAGTTTGACTCCAGCTGTTGCATCCCTGGGGTGTTTGACACCTTGTGATCAGTGATACTGCTGCATCAGAAGGTGGATGATGGGTTTGAAATGCTCGTTCTGAACATCATTCTTTAAAAAAAACCAAAGAAACAAAAAACAAACAAACAAAAAAAAAAGGGATGATGCAGTATTCTTAAATGAACTCAATGTCTGTGTGTTCATCTGATCAGCACTTGAGTCTTTCCCCACCATCTCTCCCCGCCTGTCTCGTTCCCTTCCATCTTTCCCCATCACTTTCTCTCTCTCCTACCCTGTACTCACCTACTAACCAAAGTCAGTCATATTGTGGGGGCAATTTTTCATTTGGATGCTTTTGCTTGCATGCTTCTTTAGTGGGACAGAGTAAGAACCTGGTGAAGGGAACTTTTTTGCTTTTGACTGCAGGTTGCAGAGGGGAATGAATGAATATATGTGGAAGATCGGCCAATAGAAAAACAACAACAAAAAACACTTTAATCTGCTTTTGAAATTTGCCTGTGGTGTCCTCACACTTGCTGGGAATGTGGCTTATTCTCTTGTTTTCCTTCTTTCTATATGTGTGTGTTTTTTTTCCCCTTAGACAGCAGGTGTTAACACAACGGATAAGGAGCTAGAGATTCTGTACTTGCGAAATGTTACTTTTGAGGATGCTGGGGAATATACTTGTCTCGCAGGGAATTCTATTGGGTTCTCACATCACTCTGCTTGGCTGACGGTGCTACCAGGTATTTCCTTCTGTGCTGGCCTCTCCTTCCCTCTCCAGGGTGCTCTGACATTTGCTTTAGAGATGCCAGGTTCCTGCAGACATGTTACCCAAGGAGGACCCTGTCTGTGATTTGCTGTGCCAGTGGCAAATTGGCACAGCAGAAGACCCCTGTTGCATACTCACAGCTGACAGATTTTGCGTTTCATACAATCATAGAGTCATTATGGTTGGAAAAGAGCAATAAAATCATCTAGTCCAACCATAAGATCATCTAGTCCAGTCATTTCATCCCAGGGTTTAAATTCTTACTGGAATAATGATATAGAATGGTGTATATCTTCTTAGATGGTGATAACCCAGAGGTGCTCACAGCCTCTGCATTTGGAGGCTGTCATTAGATACCAGAATAGACATTTTGGCTTCATGTGCTGCCAGTGTACTCAGTGGGAGAAGAAAACTCCTCATCAGACGGTCCAGGACATCTAAAACCTGCACATACAGTGGATCAATTTATGGAGAAACCTTTCTGTTCAACCTCATATCTCAACCTAAAATCAGATGCATAGATGGTTGGTATGAGTGCACCTATCCCCTCCTTTAGCATTATTTCTGCTTCATGGACAAGCAGGCCCAGACATTGATCTTAAACAGAAGGTCCATCAAAGAAGTCATCCATGGTCAGAGCTCAGGAGCTCAGGCTTCTAGTGCACCAAATGCCACAGCTGGAAATGATGAAAGCTGTTGTAGACTTGAAATCTGAGGCCCGAGTGACCTCAATTTTGTGATCCTTTCATGTGCAAAGCTCTCACTGACAATGAAGTCAGCACAGAATATGCAACAGGAGTGGTCTGCCTTCAGAAGGGGTTCAAGGCTGTGCCTTCACCTGCAGGATCTACCTCTAGCTATGGGGGCAGCCCAGGAAAGCACCAGCAGTGCTTCCACGTGGAAGCTAAGTGAGTGCTATGCCTTGCAAAGGCTGCAGCAACAGCCCTGAAGTATGTTCTTTACTGAAAAGGCACCCAGATTGGCTTACCCAGTTGTAAACCACATTTGTGTCTAACTCAAAAAAACATCTATATTGAGGTGTGTTTAACAATGAGGAACTTTGGCATCTCTAGTCTTCACTTTGTCTGTGTGGGTGATTTGGTCTTAAATACTTCTTCTGGGTCTCATGCCTGACCCTCTGCAGGTAGGATCTGCTGGTCTTTTCTCTGTTCATTTGCCAGCTTTAAAATAGCTAATCTGATCCTGGTTCTGCTTCTGCCATCCACTGGATGAGAAATCACTTAATTTGGTTAGAGCACTAATATCTCTGTTATTTAAGAATCTGCTCAACCTGTCTCATTCAACCATTAGATTGCTTTTAAAATGTATGAACCCATGCCACCTATTCAAGCAAATTAAAATGGGAAAGAAGAAAATCAGCTGAACTTTACAACGAAGTCAGCCATGGAAAAGGACAGCCATCTGTGCAGCAGCAGGCTCCAAAGCACTGCCTTCCACAGCAAAGGAGGAGCAGAATCCAGCCCTCCTGGGGAAACCTCTGCTTTGAACCTCTACGCTCTCTAAGGGAGGAAATGGAGCAGAGATGCTGTGATCCCAAGAGCTCTGGGAGCCCTTTCCCATAGGAAGAGGTTGCCATCTTGCACATGGGCACACCTGTGCTGGTGCAGCCCCCATGGTCACCCATGGCTGTTTCTCCATGTGCATCTTGGACATCAAAGACCTGATTTGGAGCCTGCTGCTGCAGGTGGAAAAGCTCCCACTGACTGCAAAGCATGGATTTAAATGAGACATTAGCAAGCTAATCAGGCTGGCATGACTTCATTGTAAAGTTTTCCATTGCTGACTGTTCCTCTGATGCTGATCTACCTTTAGGGGACAGAAAACTGGTTCCATCGTGGCCCTTCTTCTGTCCTGAAGTGAGCAAAGTGCCTGTCCTGAAGGGAACAGTTGAGAATTGCAGCTGAGCCTTGCTGGTCCCAAAAATACATTGGTGGAAGGTGACCAGCCACTGCTGATGGGCTCATGCCATCACCCTCCTGGCTCAGTCACCTCTCCAAGCCATACCCTCCAACAGAACTGAATTTTCACAAAATAATGACATAGATATCTGCTGTGAGACTTTTTCCTTTTGTGGTGTTTACTCCTGGGTGCCCTTTGAGCCCTTTGGTCCTTCAGAGCAGGCACTGATCTGATGGAGATCATCATGTGAGGTCCAGATGCGCTCACCAGAGGTGCCAGATCAGCAAAGGGCAGCAAACCCCCATCCTGCAATCCTTGCACATCCAAAGCACCCCGTAACATGGTTTGGATGTGTGGAGGAAGCAAGATGTGGTTCAGAGGGACAGACACATGAAGGTGCCTTCAGTCTAGAGCAGTGGTTTTCAACCTGTGGGCTGAAGGCTCTACAGTATTATGTCAAAAGACAGTAAAAGCATCCCAGGGAAAGGCAAAATAATATTTTTGCTGCAGCTGCATGTGGAAAACCACTGGCCTAGGAGGGTCACCTCACTGGAGTTAGTCAGAACGTTTGTGTGGATAAGCAGGTCCTCCCCACATTCTTTGTGCTGTGTGTGTGTGGTTATGGACAGGCAGTGCTGGCCCCACCTGACCGCTGTCTCTTGTCGCCCTGCAGCAGAGGAGCTGATGGAAATGGATGATTCAGGCTCAGTGTATGCTGGCATTCTCAGCTATGGCACTGGCTTAGTCCTCTTCATCCTGGTGCTGGTCATTGTGATTATCTGCAGGATGAAAATGCCAAACAAAAAAGCCATGAACACCACCACTGTACAGAAAGTCTCCAAATTTCCACTCAAGAGACAGGTAACAGAAAGTAGATACAAGATTCCTATTCCCCCCTATGTTCATTCCTTTTTTTTTTTTTTTTTTCCCCTTGCCATTTTCTTTATAGGTGAGAAACTCTACCAGAAGGGCATTGTCCAAGAGCAACATAAGTTGGCTGCAGTGTAGGAGTTTATTGCCCTTTTATTCATTTGTTTCCATTTCAGTGGAGCAGTACCTGGTGGCAGCTGCTTCAGATTCATGAGCAGCTCCCATTGCTCACAGTGCACTTGTGGATGGCACAGAAAGCTGATCTTGCGAGGGAACGGTTTGATGCTGATAGAGGTGTAATTTGGGGAGCAAGAGGCTGTTTTCACTGAGGTCATTAGCAAACTGGAAACCATTTCTCATAGAGGTTCCTCTACTTCCATGCAGCTAGAGATGCTCTGCCACATGTAATTACAAAGGGGCTGGAGCAAAAAGCACTGTGTAAAACCACATAGGGAAGTATACAGATGTCCCAGCTTTGACTTCAGGCATGTGGTGGCCACTTGCCATGCCAGAAGAGAAGTCATCCCATAGCCTGTCATGCACACCCAGACATGTGTTTGGAAGCAGACAGAGCAAATTAATTCATTATTACACAGCTGCCAAGAGTCTTCCTTGCAGGAGAGCCCTGGCTGACCTGTCTCTGCTTTCCACCAATGAAGAATCTGACCATGTTTGCCTAGGTCAGCAAAATTTTGTAAGGGTGGGGGTCAGTGCCCATGTAGAAATTATCAGAAAGGCGTCAGTGTACAGAGCTACTTCAAAACCCAACATCTTGAGCACATTCTCACGTGCTTGGGATACAGTTGGCAATAACACTTAATTTGCTCTACCCAAGCAGGTGTCGTTGGAGTCCAACTCTTCCATGAATTCCAACACACCCCTGGTCCGGATCACTCGTCTCTCCTCCAGCGATGGGCCGATGCTGGCCAACGTCTCTGAGCTGGAACTTCCTCCAGATCCCAAGTGGGAATTGGCACGCACTCGGTCAGTCAAACCCACCAGCAGGGTCCCCATGCTTACTGGGGGTGTCACCTCCCCAGCACTTGCTAACACACCTGCTTGTTCCTCCCTCCAGCCTGACCCTGGGGAAGCCACTTGGTGAGGGCTGTTTTGGCCAAGTGGTGATGGCAGAAGCAATTGGGATTGATAAAGACAAGCCAAACAAGGCCATCACGGTGGCTGTCAAGATGCTAAAAGGTATGGGGAATCTGTGGAGGGGGGAGCATCATATTGTGCTCGGGTTTCCTCTCTTCCCCTGTCTTTTAAGTCCTTTGTACAAACAGATCCAGTAGAAGAAAGCAAGAAGAGCCAAGAGCCACTTTTCCACTTCACCCACGTAGCCTCGGGGTGAGGGCTGTCTCCTTGGAGAGGATGTAAAGGCGTAAATCCCATCAAGAGAAGGGAATGGGAATTAACTCAGTTCTTTGCCAAGGGGTAATATGATCACAGAGAAGAAGGGAAAGCACCTTCACTTCTAGCCATTTCCAGGAACCAGTCTGCTCTTTTCTCCCTCCATAACCAAAACTGGCTATTGCAGCAACAGCTTATGCAATACGCTCAGCTGGAGCTTACAGAAATTCAGCTGCAAACTCCTTCTGCCCTCTCATTGAATAACCTCAATCCAAAAGTGAGAGCTGGAAGGGAGCCCAAAATGGGGAATGCACGGGACACCTCCATAGGAGTCCTTGTTCTTCATGCCTAGACAAAATGACCAGGAGTTCCAGGAGTTCAGCAGGAACAGGCAGGGCAGACACTCTGGCAACATGTAGCCCAGGTCTGAGGTTACATAGAGTGGCATTTTTTACACAAAAACATTTCTTATCAGAAAAAAAATCTTTAGATTTCTTTCAGTCCGTTCTAAAGTTGTTTTTGGAAGCAGGAACATTTCCATCTCTTCACATCAAAGCATTCATTTGAGGAGATTTCCACCCATTTTTCTACTTCTGTAGAAAATGTACAGTTTTCCATGCAGAAAAATACATTCTTTACACTGTCCCCCATCCCAGCTCTGACCTTCCTGCAACCTTAACTTTAAGCCCCTGGACATAAGGGAGGAAACAGTCATAGAATCATAGAATGGCTTAGATTGGAAGGGACCTTTAATGATCATCTCGTTCCAACCCCTTGCTGTACAGGGGATACAATGCAAGAAAATTATGCCAAATACCCAAACTGTTTTTTTTTCTGTCAGGATGAAACAGAAGATGACCAGTATTCTTGATTTACATATGAGCATTTTTCTCATATCTCATTTCTCTTTATTCTGTTTTTCTTTTTGAACTTTTTTTTTGATAGTAGTTTTTGTTCCTAATTTGAGACTTCTTCCCAAAATAGAATACAAAGAGTGACACGTTTTGCATATTCGTTCCCCATCAGTCTCTGCATGTCTATGCCACAATTGTATTAAATGCTTAACAAAACATTCATTTTGTTCCTCTCTTGCTCTCTGCAGATGATGCCACAGACAAGGATCTTTCAGACCTGGTCTCTGAGATGGAAATGATGAAAATGATTGGGAAGCACAAAAACATTATTAACCTCCTTGGTGCCTGTACGCAGGACGGTATGTGCTGTCAGGGCTCAAGGAGCTGTTTCACATTCCTGCATCCACAGCATTGGTCTTAGTCTCCTGCATGGCTTTCTGGAGCTATTCTTGCCCTGGATAGGACCAAACCACTGTATTTGATCTGTGCTGAGAAACTTTTCCTCCTTCCTCTGGCTTGCTTGCAAATCAACTGTGTGGAACTTGTCTGGGCACTGCTGATGACCAAATAGCTCCTGCCTGTTTCTGATGTGGTTTGGCTCGAGTTGCACCTTTCCCCGAGGTCCACCTCTGTGTCTTTCTCCTTTTCTCATAAGTTTACAATTACGTCCTGGAGTTTTGTGATTATTTAATTGCTGGCTGACTGTCCAAATTTACCCAAAAGATGAGATTTAGAGTTCAGCCTGAGCCTATGTCTCTTCTAGCTGCTGATGGTGCTCTTGCTTGCAGGACCACTCTACGTGTTGGTTGAATACGCATCGAAGGGGAACTTGCGGGAATACCTCAGGGCACGTCGCCCACCTGGCATGGACTATTCCTTCGACACCTGCAAGCTGCCCGAGGAGCAGTTGACATTTAAAGACCTGGTTTCCTGCGCCTACCAGGTGGCCCGGGGCATGGAGTACTTGGCATCACAGAAAGTGAGTTGAGAAAGCTCAGTTTTGATAAAAACATTGGTCATAGAATCACAGAATGGTTTGGGTTGGAAGGGAACTGAAAGCCTACCCAGTTCCAACCTCCTGCTGTGGGCTGATTGCCTCCCACTAGATCAGGCTGCCCACCTAACCTGACCTTGAGCACTCTAGGGATGGGGCACCTATAGATCTCTGGGCAGCCTGTGCCAGGGTCTCTCCGCCCTCTGAGTAAAGAATTTCTTTCTAACATCTAACCTCAATCTCCCTTCTTTTAGTTTAAAACCATTCCCCCTTGCCCTATCATTATCTACCCATGTAAAAAGTCAGTCCTGCTTGCAAGTTTCCTTTAAATACTGAAAGACTGCAGTTGAAATCTCCTCAGAGTCTTCTCCAGGCTCAAAAGCCCTTGAGAGGAGACCCATGTGTTCAAAGAGAAGCAGTGCTGTGTGTGTGCAGGACATCCTCAGGCTTCTCCCTTTGGAGGCCAGATTTTTCATTACAAAGGATCTTAAATTTTTTTGCGAAAGGCTTAAGCTGTAGTAACCTGTTCCTATGTGCAGGTTCCATCCATGAGACATGCAGCTGAACCAATCTTGCTGTCACCTGCAGACCCTTTAGCATCTCCAAAATGCTAACAAAAAACACAAACAGCCCAGACCTTGGTGCCTGCCCTCAGCAATTAAGCATCTGCCACTTGTAGAATTAATTTATTTTCAGGTCGGGACTCAGCCAGCAGTGGTTTGGGTGAACATCATGCAGAGTTGTGAGCTTTCACTTTGGGAAGCATTACTTTAGTGTCAGGAGTTCCATATGCCCCGACTTCCCCCCCCCAACTCCCTTGTGAGATTGCTAAAGGTAAAGGACACCCAAGAGGAAGCCAACATCCCTTTTGCTGCATACGTGTTTGTGGTTGCAGCCAGCATGTGTAGGCTCATTGCAAGCAGAGATGGCAGTGGATTTGGCACATCTGTGCCCAGGATGCTCCCTGGGGAGTGCTTTGTTGGCATATGACTGCAGTTCATAGTGGTGGTTCGCAGTGGCTTAAAGCGCTTTCTGCACAATGTTGGCTACTTTAACTTCTTTCTCAGCTAATGACTATGATGTATTTTGGGTAAATTGGGGATATTTTAATTAATTTGAGGATTTTCACTCCAAATATCAACCAGCGCTCCTCTTTGTGGAGCAAATGCATTAGAGACAAATTAGTATTAGTATAGGCGTCTACAGAAGAGGAAGATTTGATTTCTTACCCCTGCATCCCTTTTGGAGAGAAATGCTGCATGGCCGTGTCAGTGCTGAGGCTTCTGATGAGGTGTTGCTAAGAGGTGGCTCCCACTGAGCATGCATGATGAGGCGGTGACACAGAGAGCCAGGAATTAAGCAGTACTCACAGCTTTATGAGCTTGAGAGTCAATGAAACGGCAGCTCATAAACCACACGTTGCTGTTAGATCCAGGCTCAAGCAGCTAACAAGCCCTTATTTATTGACTTGCTCACCTTTCACAGTGCATTCATCGTGACTTGGCAGCCAGGAATGTGTTAGTCACTGAGGACAATGTGATGAAAATAGCTGATTTTGGCCTTGCTAGAGACGTTCACAACATCGACTATTACAAGAAAACCACCAATGTAAGTACTGAACTGCCATGCACATGCAGCTTTCTTTCTCACAAGGAACTGCTATCCCTGCAGGAAGTGGCCCTCACTCCACATCTCCCTTTCCAGAGGGTCTTAGGGGAAGGAAATCTGCTGTAGCCCACCTGGTGAAGAGCCATAGGCAGGCTGGTCCCAGTCATTCTCCCACCATTCATTTTCTTCCTAACGGATGTTGCAGTTGCTAGCAGCTGGTTGAGAGATTGATACTGCTGTCAGATAGACTCTAGGTTAAGAGAAGCCAAGATTTTTACCAAAGAGAGCCTTTTCTAGCTGACTGCTCAGCTGTTCATAAAGGTCCCAAGGAGCCAACCTCTGGCTCTGCCAGAATCCTTTTGAGACAAATGTCCCCTTTTTGTGTGTTTCTGGAGGTACCTGGCTTTCACGTATTTCTCTCTGCTTTTTACAACAGCTCCATGGCTCCACTACCAAGGGTGAGGAGATGGTCTCAAAGCAGTTTAGATTTTCTGTAGAGTTTAGGATCAAAGAGCAGGAGAGAAGACCAGTGTCATAGTTCACAGCCCTACAGCAGCTGTGAGTTCAGAGCAGCCCATGATACATCCCTCCCCATCACTGCCACAGTGCAGAGCATGAAGCACTTCCCAGCACTCCACAGCTTTATAACTGCAAGGAGTCTAAATGCTCAGGCAGTTCTGCAAAGCCCACCAGCCCATGCTAATCCCTTGCAATATCATAACATGATTTTGAGAAAATATTGGGAATTTTTATTCCAGCTAAGATGGATTTCCCCTGTTTGAACTGCAATGTGTAGCTGAAAGTGTAACCCCATTTGTGCACTCTGCTTACGTCCCATCTCTAGCTGCCTATCCTAATGAAATGAAGGGTAAGAAAGAACAAAACCCTCCCATAGCCAAATTACACCTCAGCCTAGCAGCACTCCTTTCTTGGACTCCCGGGGCTGGTAAAACTAGTATTTGTTGGCTCTTTTCTCGAATGGGACAGGCATGTTTATAACCCTGATGCAGAATGGTCCCCTGGAAACCTGGGATCAGGGCTCTTTTTCACTCCAGTGGGATCAAGATTTGATTCTTGGAGGATCTGGCCCTGGTGAACACTTTCGGAAGTTCCCCCTGTAGTTCAGCCTAAGCAGGATTTGGGCTGTGCATCACATTGTTTTCTTCCAATCAAAGAGATGAAAAGTGTTGTGCCGTGCTCTGCTTCAGTGCTAGGTGCATATGTGAGCAATTGGTGTAGTTCCCATGCTAAGATTTAGATGCTCTGATATGTTAAACCTGCCTTGGCAGGGAAGTACGGTTCTCTGCAGAGAGCATTTACCACAAAGATTGTCAGCAAAGATCCAGGGATCAAATGCTGTAATCTGTTTATATGTGGCCACTACTGCTTTGCGCAGTGACCGGGAAGACAGATGTGACTGTTAATGAAAATGTTTCAAACTGGATTAGAAAAGAAGATTCAGATGGTGCCATTGTGGCTGGGGGAATATGCTGATGGGATGTTCCCATTGTCTTCCTAATCACAGGGTCGGCTGCCTGTGAAATGGATGGCTCCAGAAGCATTGTTTGACCGGGTCTATACTCACCAGAGCGATGTGTAAGCATTATCCACATTTGAAAATAATAATAAAGTGACAGCAAAATAAGCACTATCCCAAAGACAAACGTACTGCTAAACTCAAGCTCTGTCCAGGACACCGGAGGATGAAAATGCAAATGAATCAATTCCAGGCTGCAGCTTTGCACACGTGGTTCTGTTTTACTGTTATCTGGTTGCTTTTAACCAGGGATCTCTAGTAAGCTGTTGAAAAATTACTGGAAGGCAGGCAGGTATTTCTTGTGTGGTTTATAGGTGAGGAGACTCATTCTGTAGGCTGCTCTCTTAAACACTGCTCTTTCGTTTTCCTGACTCGAAGGGAAAGCAGTTTCAGCAGTTTTCATCGCATCTGAACTTCACACGGACCAAAGTAGCTCAATATGCACACACTTTATTTCAATATTTGGTTAATAATGGTTTTTTTACAGTAATTCAGCAGACAGGCTGCCTGTTCCCCAAGGCTTGCCACTTGCAATTGGACAAATGAATCATTTCTATTTCTGTAAATTTCACATACTTTGGCTTTATTGATCTTAAATCATAGTTTCCATGCTTAGGTAATGCTGCATTGGGCATGACAGATAAATCAAAGCTAGAAAACGGGAGAGAGAGCATGCCTGAAACAGAGACAGATAATCCCTGTTTTTAAAAAGAAAATGAAGAAGGCAGAAGATATTTTTGAAAAGAGGACTTTTAACTGGAGCACAGCTGCAGGAGTGGAGTGTGTAACATTAGTGCTCTGCTGATTTTTGTTGGGGTATTTTTCTCTCAGCTTGGCCAGTGAAATGAGTGTTGTAACAAGCAAGTTTTGGTATCAGCTTGCACAATTAGTGGCCTGTGGTTCCAAGCCTGCGATTCAGTGAAGCTGTGCATGAATAATTTGATTTGTTCCATTCAGTGGAGCTGGTGGAAGACCTAACAAAGAGCTGGGGGTAATAGATGGGCTGTCACCTATCTGATTAAATGCTCATTTCAATTTCAGACTTGGTGCCTGGGATTTCTTTGCTATTGAGTTGGATCAGCAGAGATCTCCAAGTAACTAGTAAAAATGGCCTAGGCAATTAGTCATGCTATTGATGACTTTGTTAGCTATGCATGGCTGCACAGAAATAAAGCAGAGCAGGGGGAAGGGGATATTGGGGGAATGGGGGGGTGAATGTGGAGGGTGAAAAAAAAAAAAAAAAACTCATTGAATTTTAAAGATCTTTCTTTGGTTTCCAGCTGGTCTTTTGGAGTGCTACTATGGGAGATCTTCACTTTGGGAGGGTCTCCATACCCGGGAATTCCTGTTGAAGAACTCTTCAAACTCTTGAAAGAAGGCCATCGGATGGATAAACCCGCCAACTGCACCCACGACCTGTGAGTGGAGGGGGGTGACCCTTTCTCCTCTTCCCATCCCCCTTCCCTCTGTGGCCACAGACTGCCAGGGCCATGGCCAGGCCGTGCTTTGGGCAGTTGGGGTATCACGTTTCTTCCTCATTCGTTGGGTGGCAATTTGGTGTGCAGATCTGGCATCTCATCCTTAGGGCAGGCCCTTGTCCTGCTTTCAGATCACATGCACACGTGAGGTGAGGGCTCCACAAATCCCTCCTCCCGTCCCCAAAGTGAGGCTGCAGTCTCACATCCTCCTTGCCCCGCACCTCAGGGATGCCGTCTTCGGAGTTACGACCACAGCCCATTTTGTATCCCAGAAAATGACATAATTATACTCAGTTCCTTCCTCATTACTTCAGCTCCAGTGACTCCTCAAGCCAGCCTGAGTGGAGGAGGCTGTGCCTACCCGTGTTCGAGGGGAATTGCAGCCATCCCCTCAGCACTGGGCTGCCTCCATGCTGCTCCTGACATGGCAGTTGAGGGGCTGGGCTATGTGGTTCCCCTTGCCCATAGCTTTTTTCTTAGGCAGACAGAATTCTAGGGGTGAGCCTCACAGTAAGTGATGAGCACTGCCATGGGTGACAGCCCACCTTCCCTGTCATCTTCCTGGAAAAGCTGGAGAGCTGGGCAGAGAAGAACCTGATAAGGTTCAACAAGAGCAAGTGTAGAGTCTTGCACCTGGGGAGGACTGACTGCATGCATCAGTACAGGTTAGGAGATGACCTGCTAGAGAGGGGCCACATGGAGAAGGACCTGGGTGCTCTGGTGGACAGCAGGTTGGCCATGAGCCAGCAGTGTGCCCTCGTGGTCAAGACAGCCAGTGGTAGCCTAGGGTACACTAAAAAGAGCATGACTAGCAGGTCAACTGAGGTGATCCTTCTCCTCTACTCTGCACTGGTATGGCCACATCTGGAGTGCTTTGCGCAATTCTAGGCTTCCCAGTTCAAAACAGATAAGAGGTACTCTAAAAATAGTCCAGCGAAGGGCCACAAAAATGATTCAGGGCCTGAAGCATCTCTCTTATGATTAAAGGCTGAGAGATCCAAGGCTGTTCAAGCCTGGAGAAGAGAAGGCTGAGAGGGATCTCATATGTATCTAAAATTCAGGAGTCAAATGGATGGGACCAGTCTCTTTTTGGTGGTGCCCAGCAACAGGACAGGGGGTAATAGACACAAACTGGAACGCAGGAAGTTCCATAGAAAACGTGAGCATGAACTTTACTGTGGGGATGACAGTCATGGAATCTGTGGATTCCATGGATATCATGGATAGGTCATGGAATCTCCTTCTCTAAAGCTTTTCAATAACCACCCAGATGCTTTCCTGCTCAACCTACTGTAGGGAACCTACTTTAGCGGGGAGTTAGACTTGATGATCTCCAGAGGTCCCTTCCAACCCCTGTGATTCTATGCCTGGCAGGTACATGATCATGCGGGAGTGCTGGCACGCCGTCCCCTCGCAGCGACCCACCTTCAAGCAGCTGGTGGAAGACCTGGAAAGAGTCCTCACCATGACATCCACTGATGTGAGTGTGGTGTTGGTGTGGGAATACAGGGAGGGGTGGCTTGTCTCCAAGCACGCTAACGGGTCTGTCCCCCTTCAGGAGTACCTGGACCTCTCAGTGCCCTTTGAGCAATACTCGCCCGCTGGCCAGGACACCCACAGCACCTGCTCCTCAGGGGACGACTCAGTTTTTGCACATGACCTGCTGCCTGATGAGCCCTGCCTGCCCAAGCATGCACCCTGTAATGGCGTCATCCACACGTGACGGCCTCCCCCGGGCAGATGGATGGACAGACAGGCAGTGTGCCCACCCTGGCGCAAGCGCAGAGCGCCGAAGACAAACCCATAGTGAAGGATGTTTCCATGAAACTGCTCAGTGATGCCAGAGGATTTTTGTTGTTGAGCTGTTCAGGGTAAAAAAAAAAAAAAAAAAAAAAAAAAAAAAAAAAAATTAAAACAGATCTTTTTTTTTCCCCCCGTTTGCTGTATAAAAAGTCAAGAAGCACTGTTTGGCCTGAAGGAACTCATCTCTTGCCAAGATGATCTATCTTTGTACGATTTTTTTAAAATTTTTTTTCTTTATTCCTAAGCAGAATGTTAAACCTGAGGGCACTGCCCTCCCACCTGCGCTTGCTGAGCGCCAGAGTAGCCAATCTGTGCCTACAATACGAAGAAGAGGAAAAAAATCTTCCTTTTTTTTTAAAAAAAAAAAAAAAGAAAAGCTAATGAAAAAAAAATGTAAAGAATGTAGAAATTCTTTGCTTATGCAATCTGTACATGAACCTTTTTGGTGGAGCTGAAAAGCCACGTTGCCTGCAGGGATTCATATATTTATAGAAATATCTATATTTTTGTTGTCGTCGTTTTTATAGCTTCATGACCTTATTTCCCAGCTACATAGAAGGAATCTTTTTCAGAAGAAGAAAAATAAATAATACGCAAATCAAGATGGAGGAAGAATTAAAAATTAAAAAAAAAAAAAGACAGTCAAGTCATCCTATAGGAGGAGAGCACCGCCTGGCCACTGGCCATGTCCCGTAGGGATTGCACACCCATGTGGCATCTTGAGCTGTGTCCCAACCTACAGGAAGAGCTGATCTGGAGAAAATCCTGCTTTTTGGAGACGGGGGTTTGCATACTTTTGCTTACAAAGGGCAAGTTGTAGGGGAGAAGCTCCTCCAGCCCTTGGCACCAGCGGTTTGGCTCCATCTACACGCAGTGACTTGGAGAAAGAAGTTACGGGTACCTGTAGGCAAGAGCCTTTAACTTATATCAAAAAGGTTTATTCCAGAGAATCTGTGTATATATCTATAAATATATCCTGTATATATATAAATAAATATATAGGGGAAAAGAAAAAAAAAAAAGAATGTATAATACTAATTCAACATAAAGCAGTACTGAGAGAGAGTCTCAAAATATGAGCATTGCAATCTAGGATATACTGATCTGGGTGAAAGAGAAGAGTTGTGTTTGTTTTATATCTTCACAGTTTTGTTTTAAAAATTGTACGTTAACATGTATATTTGTAAAGTTATTTATAGACATTAACATATCTGTTCTTTGGTTTAAATAGCGTAGCGTTACTGTAAACTTTAAATTTCACCAAGTTTAAGGGTGTTTTTTTTTTTTTTAACTTATTAAAAATGGAGAAAAAATATATCAATCAAGTTTTTCTTTTGTGTTTATGGGAAATATTGAAAGAATGTATAGATGTACAGTCCTTTAACAAATTACATTTAATGTTTTATATATATATATATAATGTATTCATTAAAAAAATATTAGTTTATCCTGGATTGCAGTGAGCAAAGGTAAGTTTATTTTTCAATACATCACCAGTGGTTAAAACCAAACAAATAGCAGAGAGATGGTTTTTACGTATTTCAGAAAAAAGAGGGCCAAGATTTCTTCCATCACTTTAACCACTGTGCATTACGGGGGCGTGGGTGTTTATTTTTCTATTTTCGAATGAAGGTATTCTTTGTGGTCCAGTCAATAAGTAGCACGCAGCAAAGCAACGTGTTGACTTTGGATGACGCGCATTAATTTTTTTTCCCCCTGTGCCAGTAACGTTGTATTTTGGGTTTAAGAAACACCGTATGGGCAAAATAGCAAGAGGAGTGACATTGTTTGCAGGGGAGATGCAACGACTGCATATTTCTTTTGCATTTAACACATTGAAAAATGCCAGTAATGCCTAGTTTTCTGTTCTTGAAATGCTGTGCTTTTTTTGTTCCTAAATGTCAGACAGCAGTGAAAAAAGAACCTTCACGTGGCTCAAGCTGACAAGGGGGGAGGTTTGGGGTAGGGCTATTTTGTTGTTGTTTGTTCCTTTTTTTTTTTTGTCCAGAAGACTTCATCTGCTATCACAAAGAGGCAAGGAGAATTTCATCCTGAATCCCTCCTTTACATTTTTCTCTGGTGCATATTACATATCAAAGCTTCAGAATAGCAGGATGGCAGCATCTCATTTTTAATTTTTTTTCTTTTTTTTTTTTCCTTCTTAGAGCCACAAAATCCTTATCCTAAAATAAATAATTTATAGTTTAAGGTTATTTCAATGGAAGTTTGAGAAGGTAGATTTCTATAGAATTTTGTTTTGTTGGGATTAAAAAAAAAAAAAAAGAATTTTTTGGTATTTTCTTACAAATGTCTGCTAATTGTGTACATTCCAAGTACTCGAAGCATTGTGTTTCGTGTACTGAAAAAAGAAAATGTACAAAACTGTGCATGATTTCAAATGTTACTAGATATTATAAATATATATATAATTTATTGAGTTTTTACAAGATGTATCTGTTGTAGACTTGTTGACTTAACATTTCTTATTCAATGCTTATATAGTTTTATAGCCTGGACTATTATCTTTAAAAGCTTAAAAAAATTAAAATTCCAATTTTGTTACATTTTATACTGTTGATGTTACAATCCACAGGTTTGCATAGCGTGATTTTTCAACGAGCAACTCTGTTCAGTTTTATTTTAATAATGTACTTCTGTGCCTGACAGCTGCAGCTGTCAAAGGTGTGAGACAAACACTAAATAAAACTGTTCTGCTTTTGTTAACATGGCAAACTTAATTTTACAAAAAAAAAAATAATAATAAATAAATAAACAAACAAGTTGTTAAATTCTGGGGTTTATTCCCAGTTGTGAGGGTCCTTTGGAGAAAAAAAGTAAAGAAAAAAAAGAAAAAAAAGTAGAAAAAGTAGCCCTAGCACAAGGGCAGGGTTTGCTAATGAAACCTGTGTTTATTCAGAGCAGGAGCTCTCCCACTATGAGAGTGGTTTCTGGGAAAGAGAGCATGTGAGCACTCTGAGCAGGCATCCAGGGCACTGGGATGGGCACACAGAGCCTCATCCTGCCCAGCACCCAAGGGGCAGATGCATTTGGTTCCTTCATATTTGGGAATGTGCAAGGGAACTCTGTAACCTGGGCTTTGCTGGCAGCAGATGGGGTGCAGGGGGTTGCTGCAGCTCGGGAAGCATCAGCTGTATAAGATTAATAGACTCCTATGAGTGGTTCTCTGAGGTGCTTCCCAGAAACGTTTTAACTTTTGCATTCAGGTCTTATGGAGTGGCTGAGGGAGCTGGGGTTGTTCAGTCTGGAGAAGAGGAGGCTCGGGGGAGACCATACCACTCTCTACAACTGTCTGAACAGAGATTGTAGTGAAGTAGGGGTCAGGCTCTTCTCTCAGGTAACAGTAATAGGCTGACAGAGAATGGCTCTATGTTGCACCAGGGGAGATTCAGTTTAGATATTAATAAAAATTTCCTCTCTGAGGAAAGAGTGGTAATGCATTGGAACAGGCTGCCCAGGGAAGTGGTGGAGTCTCTGTCCCTGGAGGTGCTCAGCACCCATGGAGATGTGGCTTGAGTGATGTGGTTAATTGATTGGGATGTGTTGACGGTTGGACTAGATGATGTTAGAGGCCTTTTTCAACCTTAATGATTCTATGATTCTAATTTTATCTCACCACAAGTTGTTTGCAGTTTGAAGTAAGTGGCCCGGCAGCCAGCACAGGGGTCTGTGCATTTCTGCAGCACTGGAAGCAATGTCACTGCTAGCAGAATTCTTTTTTTTTTAAGAGTGATTGCTTGGTATTTAGGTCATTTCCTTGACATGGTAGGAAAAACCTTTTTTAGTACTACCAAGATGCACTGCGCTGTGGGAGGAGAAATCTGGCTTCAGCAATGGGTTGTTTCCATGCTTTCAGGACATGTTCTGATGGCCAGCACTGAGCCCTGTCCCAGCAGGAGTGGCACAGAGTGAAGAATGACCTCTGCTCATTCATCATGGCATGGAGGTGAGGATGTCGTGCACCGCTGGCCACCAGGATGAGAAAGTGCAAGAGGTGCAGTTAGCTGCAGAGTTTAGCACTGCCTGTGTTAAACTTGTGTGTTACAGCTGCAGAGAAAAGTCCTCCAAGCACACAAGACAAAAGTTTGTCTGTGGCTGACCTGCACATGGAGCTGGCGTGATGTTTGCTTTTCCTCTTGAGTTTCATGATGTCATTCTTCCTCTGCCAGCCTTCATGCACTGCACTGTTCGCTTGCGGGTTAGAGAGGGGGATAATGCTTTGCTTTAATTGCCCTACTGTGCAGCGAGTTCTCAGCCAAGGAGGAATATTTGGCTGGCTGCTGCAGTTGATATGCATTTAGCAGCTTGCAAAACAATCTCAAGGACCATTGAAACTGCTTCGGAGGGGGGCTGTGTCACTGAGCGTGTCCCAGCCCAGCCATCACCGCTCATCCTCCCCTGCAGTGGCTGCAGCTTTCCACCCAAACCATGTTTCCTTTCCACATGAAAGAGGTATTTTTCAAAACAGAACAAGTGTCTCTTTTCCTCTGCGGGTGACTGCACAAACAGGGCTTCACGCTGGCCCTTCTGACCTGTTTCATAGCAACGTTCAAACAAGTTACTAATATTGTAATATTTTATGTGTCCTCGTTGGCCATGGCTCCATGGTAAGCCAGGCAGGATTTGGCTAAAGGAAAAAAAAGTCTGAAGTTCTACAGGTGTCAGTAGGAAATAGAGGCAGTTAGAATGAAAACAGCCAAGTTTCCTCATTCCTGGTGCCATCTAAAACTCTGCTGCTGGTGGACTCCTCTAGCAAGTTAGTGCTTTCCGGAGGCTCTATATGACCTGCAGAAAGGGAAGGTGGAGGCATGAGTTTTATTGACATTAAAAGGGAATAGAAAGAGGGATGGCTCTGCTCAACATCACAGAGCTATCAGGAGTGGGGAGACATGAGGGAATGGCCAAGCACTGAAGTACTTAGTGGCCCAAGACCATGGTCTTGTCAGAAGAGATTTGTCATGCTTGCCTGTACCCATCCTCCAATTTCTCAGCTGCACTGGCTCTGTTTCATCACCATCCCCACGTGCCACAAATGAAAACTGATGCTGAGTAGCACAAGATAAGCCGTGGATAATCAACTCATGGCCTCCAGAGTGATAACACACCCTGTTTAGCCATTATTACAAACATTTAGCTAAATTCCACGTCCGTGTGCCCGCAGGTCTACCTCGCCATCCCCTGCATCCCCTTGGGGCATGCTAGACTGAGATAGGAGAGAAAGATGGTAGCACTGCCTGACAACAAACCTGCCTCAGGCAGATACTGCATTTGGGTTCACTCTGCCCTCAGCTAGAGGCAACACAGATGACAGGGTAATCAGACACTTCCAGGCATCAGAGACTGTATTACAGTGCAGGGGTAAGG